ACCCATTGAGGTAGATATGCCGTTAAACAAATTAAACCAGACCAATCTAAAGGAAAGAATACATATTCTATTCATAAGAATATCTTCTAAAAATGTTGTCGGCATTAAATAACCCATTGATGTTGATATGCCGTTAAACAAAATACACCAGACCAATCTAAAGCAAAGAATACATATATACTGTATTCATAGGAATATATCCTAAAAATGTTGTCGGCATTAAATAACTCATTAAGGTGAATATGCCGTTAAACTAAGTAAAACAGACCAATCTAAAGGAAAGAATACATACTCTATTCATAGGAATCTATCCTAAAAATGTTGTCGGCATTAAATAGCACATTGAGGTTGATATGCCGTTAAACAAAATAAACTAGACCAATCTAAAGCAAAGAATACCTTCTCTATTCATAGGAATATATCCTAAAAATGTTGTCAGCATTAAATAATCCATTGAGGTTCATATGCTTTTAAACAAAATAAACCAAACCAATCTAAAGCAAAGATTACATAATCTATTCACAGGAATATATCCTAAAAATGTTGTCGGCATTAAATAACACATTGAGGTTGATATGCCGTTAAACAAAATACACCAGACCAATCTAAAGCAAAAGAATACATATATACTGTATTCATAGGAATATATCCTAAAATGTTGTCGGCATTAAATAACTCATTAAGGTGAATATGCCGTTAAACTAAGTAAAACAGACCAATCTAAAGGAAAGAATACATACTCTATACATAGGAATCTATCCTAAAAATTTTGTCGGCATTAAATAGCCCATTGATGTTGATATGCCGTTAAACAAAATACACCAGACCAATCTAAAGGAAAGAATGCATAATCTATTCATATGAATCTATCCTGAAAATGTTGTCGGCATTAAATAACTCATTGAGGTTGATATGCCGTTAAACAAAATAAACCAGACCAATCTAAAGCAAAGAATACATACTCTATTCATAGGAATCTATCCTAAAAATGTTGTCGGCATTAAATAACCCATTGAGGATGATATGCCGTAAAATCAAATAAACCAGACCAATCTAAAGCAGAGAATATATAATCTATTCATAGGAATGTGTCCTAAAAATGTTGTCGGCATTAAATAAGCCATTGAGGTTGATATGCCGTTAAACTAAATAAACCAGACTAATCTAAAGCAAAGAATACATAATCTATTCATAGGAATCTATCCTAAAAATGTTGTCGGCATTAAATAACACATTGAAGTTGATATGCCGTTAAACAAAATACACCATACCAATCTAAAGCAAAGAATACGTACATACTCTATTCATAGGAATCTATCTTAAAAATGTTGTCGGCATTAAATATCTCATTGAGCTTGATATATCTGTTAAACAAAATCAACCAGAACAATCGAAAGGAAAGAATACATATTCTATTCATATGAATCTATCCTAAAAATGTTGTCGGCATTAAATAACCCTTTGAGGTTGATATGCCGTTAAACAAAATAAACCAGACCAATCTAAAGCAAAGAATACATAATCTATGCATCGGAAACTATCCTAAAAATGTTGGCATGAAATAAACCATTGAGGTTGATATGGCGTCAAATAAAATAAACCAGACCAATCTAAAGGAAAGAATACATATTCTATTCATACGAATTTCTCCTAAAAATATTGTCGGCATTAAATAGCACACATTGAGGTTGATATGCCGTTAAACAAAATAAACCAGACCAATCTAAAGGAAAGAATCCATATTGTATTCATAGGAATCTATCCTAAAAATGTTGTCGGCATTAAATAAACCATTGAGGTTGATATGCCGTTAAACAAAATAAACCAGACCAATCTAAACAAAGAATACATACTCTATTCATAGGAATCTATCCTAAAAATGTTGTCGGCATTATATAACTCATTGAGGTTGATATGCCGTTAAACAAAATACACCAGACCAATCTAAAGCAAAGAATACATATATACTGTATTCATAGGAATATATCCTAAAAATGTTGTCGGCATTAAATAACTCATTAAGGTGAATATGCCGTTAAACTAAGTAAAACAGACCAATCTAAAGGAAAGAATACATACTCTATTCATAGGAATCTATCCTAAAAATGTTGTCGGCATTAAATAGCACATTGAGGTTGATATGCCGTTAAACAAAATAAACCAGACCAATCTAAAGGAAAGAATACATAATCTATTCATAGGAATATATCCTAAAAATGTTGTCGGCATTAAATAACCCATTGAGGTTGATATGCCGTAAAATCAAATAAACCAGACCAATCTAAAGCAAAGAATAAATAATCTATTCATATGAATCTATCCTGAAACCGTTGTCGGCATTAAATAACTCATTGAGGTTGATATGCCGTTAAACTAAATAAAGCAGACCAATCTAAAGGAAAGAATACATATTCTATTCATAGGAATCTATCCTAAAAATGTTGTCGGCATTAAATAACCCATTGAGGTTGATATGCCGTTAAACAAAATAAACCAGACCAATCTAAAGGAAAGAATACATACTCTATTCATAGGAATCTATCCTAAAAATGTTGTCGGCATTATATAACTCATTGAGGTTGATATGCCGTTAGACAAAATAAACCTGGCCGATCTAAAACAAAGAATACATACTCTATTCCTACGAATCTATCCTAAAAATGTTGTCGGAATTAAATAACTCATTGAGGTTTATATACCGTTAATCTAAATAAACCAGACCAATCTAAAGCAAAGAATACATATTCTATTCATCCGAATCTATCCTAAAAATGTCGGCATTAAATAATCCATTGAGTTTGATACGCCGTTAAACAAACCAAACCAATCAAGAGAAATGGGAAGAATTTTAAAAAATGAGGGAACAGTAGAGAGGGAAACTGTACCAGAAGGTCACAACAGGGAGAGGGATCATCATTTCAAATTACAGTATATCTTTAATCATTTCTAAGATGCAACGGTTCAAAACTTTATCTAAGAATTGGGCAATTTTGCTGGTACACGATTTGGACAATTTTGCTGTTATACGCGATATATGTACTAATATAAAAAAATAATGGAGTCTTTCAATAATATCTGCATATTATTTGGAGAGCGCCTTTTGAGTCGGAAAATCTTGGAAGTGGTGTGGGGTGGCATCCTAACCTATGGAGAAAATGGTGCATCGGGCAAAATATTTTTGATAGATAATCAAGGGTAGGAGATTTATTGGGGAGGGGGATACAACCATTTATCATGTTTAGAGAAAACGTCGGGCTTGGTCAGTGGTGATGAAACATTAATAAGAGTAGATAGGTTTTCCTATCGTCCGGTTCATACTTCTCCTCTGTCTTTTGGACAGGTGTAGAGTTTATCCTTTGTTTTCTGTTTAAGATTGAATTTCCGTAACTTTTAAATCTAATTCATGTCTATACTTCTAACGTCTGCGCCTGAACTCTGAAATTTAATCTCTATCTATAAAAGGCAGGGTGTGTGTGTGTGTGTGTCTGTGTGTGTGTGTGTGTGTGTGTATGTGTAACGAATGCACGGCCGCAATTTTCGACGGATTTTCACCAAAATTTACATGCACAGTTAGCGGGAAGGCCAAGACCGACTTTGCATTTCCCAACTCCCATCGATACTAGAAATAATCGATCTTTTCATGCTTCTACGTCAGTTTTCATGTAGTTTGCGGCCATTTTCTACTGGCCAGCGTGAGAGCCAACAGCTGACTGACACGAATATTAACTAGCCTGCAATCATGCAAAAAAAATCGATAGCTGCATTCTTCACAAGTGGGAAAAATTTAAATCTGCATGGCACTTTACTCCAATTGGCTCATTCGTTTGCTTAAATTCAACGTTGATTTTGATTCCGCAGAACTGGGTTGGGTGTGAAAAAGTATTTGTTGTTAACATTCTTTTTTCATTCGGTTTTTCCAGTTACGGGTCCTTTTTTAAAGCTGATAGTTTTGTGTTCATTTTGTTTAGTTCTTTTTTCGTAACAGATTTAACATTTAGTATAGAGCTTAGAAAACATTGGCAGTGTGAGATAGGCAAGAAGTAAAGCATATAGCAGCATCAGCACGTCAAAGGGCACTCCTTTAAAGGCAAGGAAGGGCAAAAATATTTTAAGTCAAGTGATAGCGATTGCTGTATGAGTCGTACGATTTTTGAATCAAGCACGGACAACGCCGGACCATGCTGCTAGTCGCTAATTAAATCTTGACTCTTTCAAGTCTTTTCGGTTATCTTGCCCTTTCTTACGCTAATGCAACTTCGCACAGTAACCTTCTATCTTGAGTGACACTTGAGCCTTGTATTAGGTGAACATTAGTAACAAAAACAACTTGCCTGAAAATCATACCACAGAATGATCCAAGCTTTGTGAATGACATTGAGTAGACAGAACTGTTTGGAACCTGTCGATGGTTGTATTAGCACGAACTCTCAAGTCATCATGACCGAGTTTGTGAGCGTACTGATCTTGTTGATTTACTCATCTCGCCAGTTTAGCTATGTTTTCTCTCGGAAATTTTAACTAAGGCCCGCTCAGCAGTGTCTCAAACCCATGTGGGCTTTGAACAAAAACAAATATGCCTGAGCAGGCGTCTGCAGAAGGGATTAGCTAGCTACATCGACCTACGAGCGTACACATAAACGAACAGCCAACCAACTACTAAGAATTTTTCTTTTGATTTGTATCTCCCAATGTTCTGACCTTGTGCCAAACACATATTTATCAATATCCATACGCACTTTCCGGTAAACGCAGAGAGCAAGATTTGAATCTCGTTTCGCCATTATTAAAGGGGCATCGATTCAGTTATTGATGTTTATTCATTTAAATACTGTGTTCAGAGTCAGCGCGTACAACACACCCTCCCGTCTGTGATAAAATGGAGTTGGTTTAGAATCTTGCTTCAAATCATCAGCTGATTAATTCGTCTCATTTAATTATTAGTTTTAACTTTGATTTTTGCTTGTGTAATTAACAAATTCCATTAATTTCAATTAATCAAGTGTTCGCATTTGCATCAAACCTCTTTCATTCTATCTATCTATCTATCTATCTATCTATCTATCTATCTATCTATCTATCTATCTATCTATTTCAGGCTGTTCATATCTGTCTGTCAGTCTATCTATTTCAGTGTTTTTTGCTTTCATTTTTTCTTTCATTCATTCATTCATTCTTTCTTTCTTTCTTATAATCTATCTATCTATCTATCTATTTCAGGTTGTTCATATCTATCTATCTATCTATCTATCTATCTATCTATCTATCTATCTATCTATCGATTTCAGGTTGTTTATATCTGTCTGTCTGTTAGTCTATCTATCTCAGTTTTTCTTTCTTTCATTCTTTCTTTCATTCAGTCTTTCTTTCTTATAATCTATCTATCTATCTATCTCAGTATTTTTTTCTTTCATTCATTCATTCATTCTTTCTTTCTTTCTTTCTTTCTTATAAGCTATCTATCTATCTATCTATCTATCTATCTATCTATCTATCTATCTATCTCAGTCTGTTCATATCTATCTATCTATCTATCTCAGTATTTTTTTCTTTCATTCATTCATTCATTCATTCTTTCTTTCTTTCTTATAATCTATCTATCTATCTATCTATCTATCTATCTATCTATCTATCTATCTCAGTGTAAACCACAGTGCATTAGCCTGTGTTAGAATGTCGTATAGATTGTAACCAGACAGCCAGCCACAACCATCTCTCTCTCTCTCTGTCTCTCTTTCTTTCTTTCTTTCTTTCTTTCTTTCTTTCTTTCTTTCTTTCTTTCTTTCTTCTGCATTCCATTTCTTTCTTTCTTTCTTTCTTTCTTTCTTTCTTTCTTTCTTTCTTTCTTTCTTCTATATTCAAATTCTTTCTTTCTTTCTTTCTTTCTTTCTTTCTTTCTTTCTTTCTTTCTTTCTTTCTTTCTCAGTCACTTTTTTCTTCCTTTGCTTCTTTCTTTCTTTCTTTCTTTCACAGTCACTTTTTTCTTCATTCTTTTTTCTTTCACACACACACACACACACACACACACACACACACACACACACACACACACACACACACACATATATATATATATTCTTAAGAGAGAAAATATATATTCTTTTCTGGCTCGTCGCCTAAAAACTCATTAGTCACATGATATTAACGGAATGTCACTCAAACTTTTCGGGCAAAGACGAACGAAATTTTTAAAACATAGTTCCCGCCAAATCTTTACCATCTTTCTACTTTTTGAGGATGACGTTTATCCAGGTGATGGCGCTTGCCGAACCGGCAATATTCATGGCAACATTTCAGAGGGGGCTGAAATGAAGTCCCTGTTCATAATTTTCTGACGTACGCATAATCTCCAAGGAAAGTTGGTTCCCTGTGTCGTGCCAGAAGGTTTTTCCCGTCTGAGTCCTTGCATTGAATCCTGTTGCCATATATGGTCTGGTGCCCCCGCTGGTCATCTCGAAGACCTCGACAAAATCCAGAGACGGATATGCAATATGATGGGTCCTGATCTGGCATCTCAACTCCTGTTACTTTCTCATAGACGTACTGTGGTTTCCCTCTGTCTTTTCTACAAGTATTTTAATGGCAACTGTTCTGATGACATACTTCCACTGGTACACCCCAACTGCATGAATTTAAGGTTGTCATCTCGGTCCCACCCTTTCACTGTCGAAACAGTTAAATGTAACCGCCTCTTCTACTCCAACAGCTTCTTCTCTCGCACTTCCCGACAGTGAAATTCCCTTCCTCTTACTTGCTTCCCTGATAACTATAATCTTCAAATATTCAAATGTAATGTCAATCGACATCTTCTGATGCCTCGATCCTGATCCCCGTCCTTCTCTATATTCTTTCCTCAAACACCCCTCCTTACTCTTGCTCTCTGTAGCCCCTTGCGTGCTAATGGCACACCCACCTTACTTGGGGTGTCTCTCTGCCTATGGGACTGTACCAATAGCAGAAGATTTTCAGATGTAATTTTTTCCACAGGGATTGCTACTCGACATGGTCTGATCAGAAAGTATCGGGACGGGTGCCATAAAACAAAAAACTACAACACATATCAATTCGGCATTTAATCACCTTCGAAGTAGTCCCCCTTTTGAACTCACACGCATTATTCAGCGTCGTTTCCACTGACGGAAACCTTCAAGGAATCCCTGTTTTGGGATGGCGAGCAGGTACTTCAACGCATTCGCTTAGACTTCATCGAAATTTTGAAATTTTCTTCTTTTCAAGTGGGATTTGATTTGGGGAATGAGGAGAACGTTGCATGAGTGAATATGGTAGTCCTCAGAACTTGGGTGGTGATGTGCTTGGCCCAAAACGTCTGCATAAACTGCCCTGAATGGCGTTGTCATGGTGTTATACTGGAACACACCTATTCTATAGTTAATAGACTCTCCCACCTATAATAAGTAGGAGTAGTAGTAGTCGCCTGTGGGCTCGGTGAGTTGGTTGGTCAGTCGATGCTGGCCGACCGTTAGTCGGATATTAAAGTATCAGCCACCACAACTAGATTGCTGCGTCATTAACTATTATATCAAGTTCCTAACGTTTTGTACGTCGAACCTATTTTAGGACCGACTTAGTGAAATACAAACCTCCACTGTGAAACTACTCTATAACACATGGTGGAATTGCTACTCGCCGGACGCATGCAATTCTGTCCTTTTCCGACGAACTGCACCCCGCAAACGTTGCAACACGTCACTGTAGCACGCTAGGTGGATGCATAAGCATAAGAAACAATACCTATATAGTCGAAGTAAAACTGTCGACAGTTCACATGGCTTCGACTCATTCGTGCCTTCTTCGGCCTCGGAGAGCTTGGGGTCTTCCACTGCAAAATCTGAGTCTTGGGTTATAGATATAGACCCACGATTCGTCATGACCTTTTTCAAAAAGTTTTCTGTGTTGTATTAAGATAGGACCCTTCATGAGATCGCTAAAAACAGAAAATAGCATGATGAAAAAGACACGAAACTTGACGAAAACAAAATTTTAGCGTCTAAATGTTTATGTTATTATTAAGAGGAAAGATCAAAGTATTTTTTAATTATTTAAAAAAAAAACTTTCCTTCTTTTTAAAACATTCTAAATTTTGATTAAAAAAAAACAAACTTGTTTCTCTTTGTATCACCGGAACTCGTAAAATAACATAAAATTTTAGCCCGTTTTTTTTATTTTTTTTTTGTATGACAGACATTAATTTTGAAAATCTTGCAAAAATAAAAATAATTGTCGGATTTTAATGAAACTTTCAGAAACTATTCACAAATGATGGAACTTATTATAAATATGTTTTCCTTTTTTAAAGTCATGAAAATTTTTTTTTTCATATGTATTACCCCACCCCATAACTAATTGTACGAAAACTCTATAATTTCAATTTTGGGAAGATTAGTGATTATATTAGTTAAAAGCACAAGGCTTTGAGGAAACCAAGTCATGTTTGTTTGTTTTTTTTTTTTTTTTTTTGTTGGACCACCTCTACCTGAAAATCATCTCTGAATTGTAACATACAAAACTCAATAAAACAAAAATATTATTTAATTTCAAAAGCTTTTATTTATTTTAATGAACATGGACAATATTGTCTGAAAGCAAAAAGATATTTCGATGAAAAATGAATTTTTAAAACAATTATTTGTTATTTCTGAAATATTCTATTATTTTTACATTAAATGTTGTTAATTCTTCTAAAATTAGGGAAAAGTTTGTAAAATTTAACGAATATTGTTATTAAGTAGATATATATTTACAGATTATAATTTCCAAACGAACAACACTATATAAAAAATATAATTTGTGTCAATAATAACACTGTAAATCAAATCTACGGAAGACAGGAAGTATCATGCGTGCAATAAAAAAAAAAGTCACGTGGATTGAGATTCTGTCTAGTATTTAACTTAAATACTGAATTTTTAATACGATTATTTGTTATCTCTTTAATTATAATAGATTTTTACATTTAAGTTGTAAAAATATAAATTAGTTAAAAGCCGCATTCAGTTTCGTAAATGTCCTTTTGAGATTTATTTTTATGAAACACGTATGGAGAAGTTAATTTGATTTTTCAATTTCTACTGAGAAGGGTACCTACAAGTATCAGTATCATCTTAGGAAATTTAAATTTGTATTTTATGTACACTTCTGATAAAATTTCATCAGAAAGGTAGCTATAAATTAGATTCCTTTCTTATGAAATTTAATCTCACTCTTATTTTTTAATTTCTTTATAATATATTTTCCATAAAGCATCGTAAACTACAAAAAAAAAAAAAAATTAGAGCGCTGAAAATTTTCCTTGAAAATAACGAGGTAAATAATTTGTCCACTTAAATCTAAATAATTTCACTTCTCTCCTTCCGTAGAAGCAATTATCCTCACGTAAGCTATCAAAACGTCATGAAAATGTCTTTCGTGACCTGTCAAGTGACGCGAAATGTTATGACCTGCTTTGTTTAATTTTCAAACTACACCTTTTCGACGCATAAACTAAGTTAAGCTTATTTCAAAATATTTTAAATAAGTATAATTTCTGATTTTCTTAAAATAAGTTTTGAAAAAATTATAATTGATTTTTAAAAGAATTTCAGACTGAAATTTTCATTTTTATTTATAAAACGGAAAAAAAATGGTTGACATGATTGATTATCTGTCAATTTTGCTGACTAAAAAAAACAAGATTTTTAACGAAAATTTTGGACGTGCTAGGAACGATTAAAAAATGTAAAAAAATGCCCCCAAAATACTTTGATCTTTCCTCTTAATAATAACAAACATTTAGATGATAAAGTTTTGTTTTCGTCAAGTTTGGCGTCTTTTTCGTCATTCTATGCACTTTTTTAGCGATCTCATGAAGGTACCTATGTTAAGACGACCACACTCTACACACTTTCCTTCCAAGTATTGCTACAAACAACGAAAATGAACGAGAACGTTATAACTTCGTTTGCATGCGAAACAAAGTTCACATTCAATCTGTGGCTATACTCTCCGTTACCATAGCAACAGTTACAACACTCTTTGATCAGACTTCGTATTGAACAGACTCCCGCATCGAAGCAGTCATGAGTTGCCCGGAGCCTTGTATTGAGTAAACTAAAGAATCTCGCAAAAATTTATGTTAAAATGTTTTTAAAACATTTTTAACAAAAAGGCTGACACCACCCACCAAAAAAAAAACTAACTAAATTACATTAAGTCTAATCTCCTTATCTTTGTTGTTATTATCACGACGTTTCTTACTTGGTGCTCTCCGGCCTTCTTCACGTGTCTATCGATGCGCTTAACATTCAGGGAATTTCGAACTGAACCCTTTATCTAATCTACGGAGATAGATTGTTCTCGTTCCACTGTGCATGTCTAGGGGAGATAACTCGTCTTTGTTCTTATTTAGTACTGCTCTGTGGTTACAAACCCTGTTTTTACTGAGCCTGCATTTCTTGGTTCAGGGTTTGAATTCACAATTACAATGTCCCAGCAAATTAAATAAAGGGTTCCAGTTCGATGAAGGATGAAACGCGTCACACGAAATAATTTTTTTTTTTATATATATATATATATATATATATATATATATATATATATATATATATACAGCTGTACGGAAAACTTAGAAAAAATTATTAAGAACCATAATGTTAATATCTTAAATAAACACTTATGCCAAAACCCAAAAAATTTAGACAATGGAAAAATAAAAATAAAAACTGATGAAAATAAACAAAAATTATGTAACTGTAGAAACCCTCGTAATTGCCCTCTACAAAATAAATGTCGCAATGAATCATTAGTATACCAATGCAATATCTCTTCGATTGAAAGTCCTGAAAACATAAAAATATATATAGGTTGCACTAGCCATGAGTTCAAAAAAAGATTCAACCAACATCAAAGTTCATTTAGGATAAATAAATATAAAAATCAGACATCTCTATCGAAATACTTCTGGAACCTAAAAGAATCAAATAAAACACCTGCAGTAAAATGGAAGTTAATAAGAAAAGCTAGAATATGTAGGTCATTAAATGACCCATGTCCTTTGTGCATACATGAGAAACTATATATTACTAAGTTTATAAAAAATAAAAATTTACTGAATCAGAGAAATCAAATAGCTATTTGATGCCGTCATTGTCAAAAATTTTCCTTAAATAATATTTAAAAATAAAAATAAATTTATAAAATAGGATCAGGTAATATACATACTTATATTTAACATGAAAAATTAATTTTATATATGGTAAGTAATTCTATTACATTTTCTTGTTTTTTCATAAAAAAAAATTGTAGTTAATTAAAATGAATTCTAACCTAAACTTCTTTTAAATTGTAATAAAATAAATAAAGTTTACTAAATCAGAGAAATGAATTAGCTATTTTTGCCGTAAGTGAGAAAAAAAAATTTTACTTAAAAAAAAAAATTTACTTAAATAATATTTAAATATAAAATTTAAAAAAATCGTAATATAAATATACTTGATATAGAAAAATAATTTTACTTAATGTAAGTAATTCAAATACATTTACTTCTATTAAATGAAATATAGTCTAAAAAAACTAATAATGAAAATACTTTAAAGTTGTAATTAAAATTGTAGTTAATTAAAATGACTTCTAACCTAAACTTCTTTTAAATTGTAATTAAATAAATAAATAAAGTTTACTAAATCAGAGAAATGAATTGGCTATTTTTGCCGTAAGTGAGGAAAAAAGAATTTTTACTTAAAAAAAATTTTACTTAAATAATATTTAAATATAAAAAATTTTAAAAAATCGTAATATAAATATACTTGATATAGAAAAATAATTTTACTAAATGTAAGTAATTCTAATAGATTTACTTCTATTAAATGAAATATGTAGTCTATAAAAACTAATAATGAAAATATTTTAAAGTTGTAATTAAAATTGTAGTTCATTAAAATGAATTCTAACCTAAACTTCTTAAATTGTAATTAAATAAATAAATAAAATTTACTAAATCAGAGAAATGAAAATTTTACTTAAATAATATTTAAATATAAAATTTTTAAAACTTTGTAATATACTTGATGTGATAATAATTCTACAAACTGTAAGGGATTCTAATTACATTTAATAGTTCTTGAAAAAATTTTAGTATATTAAAAATTAAAAGTAAAAATATTTCAAATTTGTAGTTAAATAAAAAGTATTCTTACCTAAACACCCCCAAAAATCTTTAAATATACGAGAAAAAATGCCGTAAGAATTTTAGCCGTTAACAATAAAAAAATTTATTTTTAAAAATCCAGACGACACGCTTTTAACGGATGTTAGATTTCATTGAAAAATACATCCCTACCCACTACCAAAACGTAGCAATAACTGATACATTAAAATATAGAGATATTGAACACCCAGACACCCCTTGTCTAGTAAAATGAATTCATCTGTAACCTTGGAAACATGAATTATGATTTTAGCTGTGTCTTTAAAACCCAGTAATTTTAAAAGTTACTCCAAAATTCGCTTGAGAATGAAATGGAACTAATGTCTTTAATTTAATTGCAAAATTAAATTCTGGGCTTTTAGCTTCCATTTTTGAAACATGGTTAGAACTGTGTAGCGGAAAAAACATATTTTAAATCAATTAATATATATATATATATATATATATATATATATATATATATTATGCAGTTACATTTGAACATACACATATCCACTACAAAAATGTACATCTTACTTCAACGTTTAAAAAAAATTAATCGTAATTTCCTACCTGATGAAACGTTAATTTTTTTAACGTTGAAACAAGATGTACAATTTTGTAGTGGGTTTGTGCACGTTCTAACACTGCATAATAAATGAATATTTATTGCTCTACTTTTGTATTGAGCTCTGTTTTAAGTTAATGTTTTGAACGCTGAAATCTTAGTCTTCGTTCTTTTACATTTTATATATATATATATATATATATATATATATATAGAGAGAGAGAGAGATAGATAGATAGATAGCTAGCTAGCTAGCTAGATAGATAGAACAACTGAGATAGATAATGAACAAGCTGAAATAGATAGATAATGAACAAGTTGAGATATATATATATATATATATATATATATATATATATATATATATAGATAATGAAGAAGCTGAGACAGATAGATATGAAGAGACTGAGATAGATAGACAGTGAAGAGACTGAGATAGATATATAGTTAGATAGATAGATAAATAATGAACAAGCTGAGATAAATAGACAGATATGAAGTGTCTGAGATAGATAGATAGATAATGAACAAGCTGAGATAGATAGATATGAAGAGACTGAGATAGATAGATAGATAGATAGATAGATAATGAACAAGCTGAGATAGATAGATATGAAGAGACTGAGATAGATAGATAGATATTAAATATATGTGTGTGTATATACAACAAAATTCAAAATTATCTCAGCCATATTCATTCGGTTGAATAAGACTGAACTGTTTATGACCGTCAGCTGAAATAGATCTATCCCCGCTACATGAGGTAATTTTGGATTTTGTTGTATATACACGCACATATATTTAATATCTGGCTACTTGTATTCGAGGATACTCGTCTACTAGGGCGGATAGCCAATCCATATTGCAGACGCTCGCTCAGGCACATTTGCGTTTTTTCAACACCCACAGATCCAACCTGTGGTCTATACTGCAACTATGCTGAGCAGACCTTAGTTACAGTTTCTGGGAGAGAGCGTGTTATCTAGCGTGATCTGAACAAGGCTGGCACACTCAAACCATCGGTCACGATGACTTGTGACTTCGTGCTAGCAAAGCTATCAACGGAACCCAAGGGTTCTGTCTACCCAATTTCACTCCCAAGGCTTGAGGCAACTCGTGGTATGGTTTTCAGGCACTTTCCTAAGGTGCCGCATGCTTGGATTGCCCCCTTCCAGACCGATACTGATACAGCGAAAAAGTACTGTCTGCGAATGAATGATATATATATATATATATATATATATATATATATATATATATATATATATATATACATATATATATATATATATATATATATATATATATATATATATATATAGTTCAATTTACATTACATGAATCATTGATACAAAAAACAGATTTCGAAGTTAATGATATAAATGGCGAGAATACATCTTCGCAAACAAATTTAATAAAGTACATTAACCCCGAACCTGTATATGAATGATATGATCCCTGTTTATAAATTCCAGTTACATAAGGTCTTTTTTAGTTTTTACAAGCTTTCATCTGTTCCTACAGACATCTTCAGGTATGGAAATAGATTTGTTTTTTACTTCTCAGTAATAACAGGACAACTAAAATAGAGATGTAATCCGAAAAATGTTTTTAGAAATGTGTTATTGTTAATTGTAAAATTTTTTGGAGCGTGCGGTCACAACGCTGAGGCTGAATTTAAAAAAAACAAAAACAAATCTATTTCCATTCCTGATGATGTCTGTAGGAACAGATGAAAGCTTGTAAAAAAAATAAAAAAAGACCTTATGAAAATGGAATTTATAAACAGGGATCATAACATTCATCTACAGGTTCGGGGTTAATGTACTTTATTAAATTTGTTTGCGAAGATGTATTCTCGCCATTAATATCATTATAATCTATATCTGTTTTTTGTATGAATGATTCATGTAATATATATATATATATATATATGTGTGTGTGTATGTGTGTGTGTGTTTGGTAATCAATATGGATAATTCCAGAGTTGTGCCTCCGCATGTATGTTTTCTTATTTCTTCCCCCCCCCTGACTAGTCTCCTTCAATCTCTTTCTCTTTCTCTCTTTTCTATTCTGTTTCTTTTTTCTTAACTTTTATTTTACGCCCCCCACTTCCACTTTTCTGTCGGATATACTTGATAAAAGAGGTGAGCATATCTAACAAAAACCCACACCTCCCCCGTCTTTATTTTATGTCTCATATATATATATATATATATATATATATATATATATATATATATATATATATATATATATATTAAGATATTTTTATGTTTATACATTCTTTTTATAGATACAAAAATATCTTAAAAATAATTGTCAGACTTTGTCCATTTCATAATGTGTGATGTCATTTGTTTACATTTGGATACGCATTGAGCAGATATGAATGTACATGATCCATTTACAAAAGCTCGTTAGCTAAGTTGATCATGGCTCTCCACAACGTCCTATCCTTTGGAGCTCCCTGCAATGTTTTTTTTTCACCAATCTTCTCCGTTTACTGTTCTATCATCCATTTACACAGGCTCGTTAGGTAGGTTGATCATGGCTCTCCACAACTTCCAGTCCTTTGGAACTCTCTGCAATGTTTGTTTTTATTCAACAATCTTCTCCAGTTCCTGTCCTGTAATCCATTTATCATGGCTCCCCACAACTTCCTATCCTTTGTAGCTCTCTGCATTTGCTCCGTTAGTCATCCATTTACATTACACAAGCTTGCTAGGCAGGTTGATCATGGCTCTCTACAACTTCCAATCCTGCAACGTTTGTTTGTTTTTTTCACCAATCTTCTCCAGATCCTGTTCTGTCATTCATTTACACAAGCTGGTTAGGTAGAGAAGATTGGTGAAAATAACACTGCAGGGAGCTACAAAGCATAGGAAGTTGTGGAGAGTCATGATCTTCTTAACTTCTTAGGAGAGATCCTACGAAATACAAAATATCGAAATGATAATATTAAAAGCTACTTGAGTCAATACGAGAACATTATTCGCGTTTATTCTTTGGTCTGTACGAAAATATTGATTGTTTTTATACTTGAGTTTATGGATTGATTTTATACTCAAGCCTATATGGAAACCTTAGTCGTGTTTACACTTGAGCCTGTTACATGAACCATCCTGAAAGCTACCAGATGGTAGGGATGGGAAAATTCATATAATAATATAGAGCACTGGTGAGGTTGCTGGAGACTTCTTGTCACTTAGTTTCCATTGATAGCCTCTAGTTACAAGTGATAGAAAAATTAATATAACATAGGTGGGTGCTGGAGTCTTGAAGAGATTTGTTGTCACTTTATCTCCAAGGAAAGCCACCATATACAAATGGCGGGAAAATTCATCTCATAATAACATAGAATACTGAGGAGAGTGCTGGAGTCTTGAAGAAATTTGTTGTCGCTTTATCTGCAAGGAAAGCCACCAGATACAAATGGCGGGAAAATTCATCTCATAATAACATAGAATACTGAGGAGAGTGCTGGAGTCTTGAAAAGATTTGTTGTCAATTTATCTGCAAGGAAAGCCATCAGATACAAATGACGGGAAAATTCATGTCATAATAACATAGAATACTGAGGAGAGTGCTGGAGTCTTGAAGAGATTTGTTGTCACTTTATCTGCCAGGAAAGCCACAAGATACAAATGGCGGGAAAATTCATCTCATAATAACATAGAATACTGAGGAGAGTGCTGGAGTCTTGAAGAGATTTGTTGTCACTTTATCTCCAAGGAAAGCCACCAGATACAAATGGCGGGAAAATTCATCTCATAATAACATAGAATACTGAGGAGAGTGCTGGAGTCTTGAAAAGATTTGTTGTCACTTTATCTCCAAGGAAAGCCACCAGATACAAATGACGGGAAAATTCATGTCATAATAACATAGAATACTGAGGAGAGTGCTGGAGTCTTGAAGAGATTTGTTGTCACTTTATCTGCAAGGAAAGCCACCAGATACAAATGGCGGGAAAATTCATGTCATAATAACATAGAATACTGAGGAGAGTGCTGGAGTCTTGAAGAGATTTGTTGTCACTTTATCTGCAAGGAAAGCCACCATATGCAAATGGCGGGAAAATTCATAATATAGAATACTGAGGAGAGTGCTGGAGGTTTGAGGAGACTTGCTGTCACATGGTCTACTTGTATGACACCAGATGTGACTTGCGTATCGGCTTCGTTTATTTAGAAAGGTTTCTTAAAGTGGAATCGGTTATTGAATGTGAAATACTTTTAGGGGCTCGGATCTGATAAAAGGCTTTTAAGACTAACTCTAAAAAGCGACTAGTATTTTGCTTTTTTTGATAGAACCAAAAAAGAAACAAACAAAAAAACAACTTTAAATGCCATCGGGAAGAATAGGGCTTTTAGTTTCTTTTTTGTATCGATATCAGTTGGTTGCTCGAGCAAAATCAATAAGGAATGAGAATATCGATCTCTGTGAAAATGGCCCGGTTAACCAGGGTAGAGACGGGAGAGATAATCACCTGTACCTAACAAGTAGAGAAACTGAAGGCAAAGCTTTTTTTGGTTGAGTCTCAGAAGTTAACGTTTGCGATATGAACAAGGGTAAAAAAAAAATAAAAGTAAGTTGGAATAAAAGATGAAGATGGCGGTATTGATAAGAAGTTAATAGCGAGAAGAAAAAGAGGGAAAATACAGAAGAAAGAGCAAGAGGTAAAGGAAAGGGAAATAATAAAGTAAAAGAAAAAAAGAATTGGGACTGATATATATATATATATATATATG